GAAGAAGAAGAAGAAGAAGAAGAAGAAGAAGAAGAAGAAGAAGAAGAAGAAGAAGAAGAAGAAGACGTATTTCCAGAAATTGTAGATAAATTGTAGATAAATTGTAGTTAAATTGTAGATAAATTGTAGATAAATTGTAGATGAAGAAGACTAAAACTTCTACAAATCTTCTACAATTATGTCGAAAATGCCAATTATGCTACAATTGAAATGAGAATTTGGATATTAAAATTCAATGTATCTATTTTGTAGATATCTTGTAGATAAATTGTAGATTATTTGTATTCTGATTGTAGATGCATTGTTTTCTGTTTTCACAAATCCAAAACGACTAAAGCTTCTACAAAATCTTCTGCAAAAAACAGTCTACAATTTATCTACAATTTTTCTAATTTGACTACAATTTGACTACAAAATATCTACAAATTCTGGAAATATGTCTTCCTCATCTTCTTCTTCGAATTTCAATCGACTGTGTTAACCAGTAACCTTCAACCACTGTCCAAAAAAAAATAGGTCAAAGAATTTCGAACTCTCTGACATTATTATTTCCAGTGGGAATTCAAGCGGTTGGATCAAAGAATTTAAAATTTTCTTGTGAATCTGAAAATATGATATTCTTCGACGGTGGTGGGCAGTTGGGGATGATCAACGAGAGGAAGCATAGGAGTATCGTGAGTTGTGTGTGTGTTGTGAACAGTTGAGATGAAAGGAAAGAGAAAGTGGGAAGATAGTCCTATAATTATGCCTAATATAAATGAACCTTTAATTGTATGCCTAATTTGAATTATGGTATAGAAATGGTAATTTGGTATGCTTAAATGTAATAAACACAAACCTTAAACATTGAGGGTAATAAGATTTGATATATGGTATAGATAGGCAAAAATCCCAATTTAAAAATAGACAGATCTACGGGTGTTCGTTCAAAAATAGCCACAATTTTAAAAGTAATAGAAATTTAGCCACTTTTGATGTAAAGATAAATCTGAACAAAAATAATGTTTAATATCCGGAAAAATATTACAGCGTAATATACGAGAGTTCTAGTATAATATACCGGTCCAGCATAATATACTGGAGTTTGGAGGACCGGTGCTCCAGTCTCCAATATATTATACTGGAGCCAGCAAAATATACCGGTCCAGCATAATATGCTGAAAGTTGATACACAGGTGCACCAAAATTCAGTATATTATGTTGGACCTGTGTCAGTTGTAATAAAATAGTGACTATTTTTCAATGACTTGGCAAACATTAGCTATTTTTAAATGATCAGTTCGAAAACTGATTAGATTGTGCCATTAGGCTCTTCTTGGGCTGCCTGAATAAGTTAAACCCAAAAGACCTTAACAGGGACTTCGGCCCATTTGATTACTTGCAATATTTTTTCTTTTTCATTCCTACTCTTCTGTTTTTCTTGTGAGATGTATATTATTTGGGAATTTTTTTTTGAGAGAAATTTTTAAAAAAAAGGAGTTTTCAGTTTTTTTTTAATTAAAAATATATATTTTTTTTTCAAAATCTTCAAAAATGGTTAATTTTTTTTATATATATATAAAAAGCATGCAAATGCACTTTTGTAAAGCTAAAATTCTAACATTGTTGGTCATGCACATTATTTCAAATATTTGAAAAAATATTTACAAATTAATGTTTGGTTAATACCTCCCCCCCCCCTCAAATCCCCCGCCCCAACACTTAAACAAAAAAAACACCTCTAGTGATCCCTGATAGGCTGATAGCAAAACAACCAATGCCTTCTTAAAATTAATAGTCATAATAAAAAGCATTAGGTGATTTTTCCATCCATTCAAGCCTTGGCAGATATAATTATCTGGTACCCTGTGTTAGTAAGAGGTAGCAAATATCTTGTAAAATTAATTGAGGTACGCGCAAGCTGACCCGAACATCACAATTATAAAAAAAAAAATTTTTCGAAAATAGCATGGGCTGGCCAGTTTTTGGATCGGTCATTGAAAAATAGCCAGCGTTTGCAAAGTCATTGAAAAATAGCACTTCTACTACAACACAAAAAATTCGAGCATAATATATCAGAGATCAGTGCACCTGTGTATAAACTTCCAGCATATTATGCTGGAACTCCAACACGCGGAAAGTTCAAATATAATATACTGGAGTTTTTTTCTGTATTTTAAACAGTGTATTTGTTCAAATTTATCTCTACATAAAAAACGGCTAAATTTCGATTACTTTTAAAACTGTGGCTATTTTTGAATAACCACTAATAAATCTGACTATTTTTTATTTTCTCCCTCTCCAATGTCAATAGCAAAATGAGAGACAAGGGAGGAATGGGATCAAATGAAGGAAAAAAAGAAGAAGAGATAAACTCGTCAAAGCAAAGGGAATTTATTAATTATAAGCATCCAAACAATTAATGTCCAACTCCAAATACATCAAAATGACAAATTCTCTCGAGAATGAGTACTCATGAAATTTGAAATTGTCATATGTGTTAAACCTTATCAACAGAAGTAGTTTATTTAATAATAATGTCACCAATTATAAGCTATGTTGAAAGATCGAAAAATGACTTTAAGTTGTAAGGCTTAACAACATCCTTAGTTCCATTCCATAGTAATTGAGCAACTTGTTTGTATGCCACTTCTGTAAGATGACCAGAGTCAAAAAACATATACTCCTTCACATTTTTGCACAACTTGTAGTCTTTTACTCGTCTCTTCCCTCCACAACTATAAATTCCTCTGAATGGACCCGTCCCACAGCAAGCACTTTTAGATGTTTTAAAACCTACACAAATGTATATATATATATACATGTTACAAAATCTTACAACATAAAGAAATATCACTCAGTTTGATTCTCGATAAGCGAAATGTATTGAAACGTCAGGAGTAATATTGAATTATATGAATCATCTTATCTAAAAGTTCAAGTTATTAAAAATTTAATATTTTAATTTTAATAATTATTTTATGTATACAACGCCTTCACGTACGTGTATATTTTTTTCCTAATCGCAAGCATATAATTTATTTTGTAAAAAAAGAATAGCCACGTACAGAAAATATCATGCGTTAACGTAGGGTCCAGGAAGGGTCGCACCCCAAGGGGTGTGGTGTAGATCTACCCTAATAGAAGCATTAGTGAATATTTTTACGATTCGAACTTGTGACCTATAGGTTACACGAAGATAACTTTACTGTTATTTTTTTATATATATATAACAAGGTATAAGAATGAAATGTTGATGAATTAAAATACCAGGCATATAGGAACTTACCATATTTTGAAGGGTTGTCAACTCTTTCAATTGCAACTTTGAAGAAATCAAACAAAGAATACTTAAATCCAGGTAATTTTTCCTCTAGTTGCTTTAGCATTTTAGGCAAAGCTGAATTATGTATTTTTGCAAGGTTTGTCAATTCTTCTAGGCAATTACCACTTTTATTTCCTTGTTGGAAATTAAGAGCCCTAGAACCTGGTGTACAACCCAAAGGAGCCAAACTAAGAATGGCAAATTTTCTCCCTCCTTTCTTGTATATTCCCTGTTGCATTAAATGGACAAAAATTAAAAGAAATTTTATGCAAAAGTATAATTAGTTACTTTTTGCTACATTTTGTAAAATTTAGATGACTAGGCGTTTGGACATAAGAGTTGTAAAATTTCAAAAAGAAGTGAAAATGGTATTTGAAAATTAGAGTTATGTTTGGACATGAATATAATTTTAGATTGTTTTTGAAGTTTTGTGAGTGAAAAATTTGAAAAATATTTTTTTGGAGTTTTTCAAATATTCGAAAAATTCCAAAATTCATCTTCAAATGAAAATTAGAAATTTTATGGCCAAATACTGATTTTGGGAAAAAGTAAAAAAAATTCGAAAAAAAGTGAAAAAAATTCTTGTGTCCAAACGGGCTCTAAATCAAAAGTAATACTCCAGCTGTTTCAATTCAGATGAGGTAATTTTACTCGACACGGAATTTAAGAAAAAAGAAGAAGACTTTTGAAATTTGTGGTCTAAAAGCTTAATGGGTAAAAGCTTTATAGGGCCATGACATTTGTGTGGTTATAAAAGTTTCTCATTAAGGGTAAAATGGACAAAAATGAAGAGTTTAAAATTAAATTATTTCCAAATTTAAAAATGTGTCATTTATTTTGGAACAGACTAAAAAGAAAAATAGTTCATCTAATTTGAAATGGATTGAATATATAATCTAATTAGTACCTTAAGAACAGATGTCAAATTGCCCACTACCATCTTTACATATTCTTCCTTAGAATATGTCACAGGAAATTCAAAGTAATCATTATTTCCAGCGCTAAATATGTATACAGCATTGGAGAGGAGTTGTTTGGACTTTTTTGCTCCAAACTTCTTCTTCAAATCTTTAGCCACTTTTTTGAAGTATTTCAATTGTGTTTTAAGGTCTATAACCTGTAATTTAAACCAAAAGAAAAATGTTTATAAGAAAAATGTTTATTAGTGATATCTCTTTCTAGGTAAATACAGAATATACAAGTAATTTAAAGGGCAGTCCCATGCATAAAATATTCCGCATTCACGTAGAATATAAATATTATGGTAAAGAGAATACAAATTCCTTGATGTAAGAAAAAGCTTTTATTTATTTTTTATTTATCTTAATGACGCGGAAGTGTTAAATACAAAGTTTTTCAGGCACAAAATTTTAGGCATTGTTGCACAATATTTTTTTCAGAAATTTTGACACCTCATTTTGGTTAGTAAATTTCATTGGATTACCAAATCTATATTTTATGTAGAACTTCCACATAAAATATGGTGGCAATATAAATTTCTTTGAGATAATTAAGAGTGACTTTGGACATTTGGCTCAAAAGAAATCCTTAGTATTGATTGCTTTTAATGGGGTACTTAAATTGCACGTATAAACAAAAAATTGAAGTGATTGAAGAGGAATATAAAAGTGCTAACAGACACACAACAAAATATAAATTTATTTATGTACATTTTTATAAAATTAAAAAGGATTAACAAGTTGTTTCCTATTAATTATGGGTATTATCACTTTTATGCCGCACCAGAAAAATTAATTGTATTAAGCCTTACAAATTAGAATTAAGGGGAGAACAATGACTTAGAACTTTGAGAGATATTCTTGTTGGGCTTCAGAAGTCCCCAGACGGGCCTAGCTCATGACAGGCCCAATGATCTAACCCATTAGATTGGGGTGAAATTCAAAAATAGCCAGATTTACAAGTGGTCCTTAAAAAATAATCCAATTTCAAAAGTAATCGAAATTTAGCTACTTTTCATGTAAAGATAAATCTGAGCAAAAACACTGTTCAAAACATGGAAAATACGCCAGTATATTATGCTGGAGTTCCAGTATAAGTATACTTGAACTCCAACATATTATATTGGAGTTCCAGGATAAGTATGTTGGAACTCCAGCATAATATGATGGAGCTCCAGCATAAGTACACTAGAACTCCAACATAATATACTGGAGTTCCAGCAAGTATACCGGTCCAGCATAATATACTGGAGTTTGGAGCACCGGTGCTCCACTCTCCAATATATTATATTGGAGCCAACAAAGTATACCGGTCCAGCATAACATGCTGGAGTTCATACACAGGTGCACCGAGCTCCAGTATATTATGCTGGACCGGTCTGTTGCAGCAAAATAGTAGCTATTTTTCATTGACTTGGTAAATGCTGGCTATTTTTGAATGACCAGTCCGAAAACTAGCTATACCGTGCTATTTTTACATTAGATTGCCCTAGTCCGTTTCTACTGTTATCAATTGTGCAAAATACAAAAATGACCGATCTGCCGAAACTAATCGCATTGGCTAGCTAAAGTTGTATAAAATATGTTTTTTTTATATATAATACATGTATATATAAAAAGTATATATTTTATCAACTATTATTTTTAGGAGCGACTAAAAATATATATTTTTGGTCCAAGTAGGAACTAGGAATCAAATGGGAATAATAAACATCACTTACAAAGCCACGAAAAGTTTCTTCTAAGCAGCCAGCTCCTCCTGATGCGAAATTCACTCCATGGATAAATCCATCTTTGCCAATACCAAAATAGGATGGAATGAGTGGCAACTCTGCATATTCGGCTAAAAACAACACAATGAATTAACTTGCTATTCCAAAATAGAAATATTCTTATTTATAAATGATAAGAATTGAATCATATATACATAGAAAGATTTTCTATAAATATACGCAGTATAAATTTTCGACGAAATTTTTTTAATTAAACCCTTTTGATTCCGTCAACTGGTATCTAGTACTACGCGCCCCTAAAATCAAATCTATTCTAATATGTTCAGATACATGAGGAAAACGGAGAAACTGACACTTATCCTTTTTCTTCATCCTTTTTTTTTTTTTTCCAGAAATAAGAAGGGAAGCCTTGGAGCAACGGTAAAGTTGTCTTCGTGTAACCTAAACATTACGGGTTTAAGTTGTGTAAGTAACCACTAATGCTTGCATTAGGGTAGACCGTTTATATCACACCTTGAAGTACGAACCCTCTCCAAACTTTGTGTAAACACAGAATACTTTGTGCACCAGACTACTTATTTTTAATGGACAAAAGGCGGGATACAGACAAAATTAATAGCTTCAATATATATTAAAGGGGTGAAAAGTTAATGTTACCAATGAAATCAGGAATGATACGACCATCACAAAATCTGCCAGTAGGAGGCTTGAAGAATGATTCACCATAAGGCCACCAATTAGCTTGGAATTGAGTAGTTGTATTAATATAATTATTATTCCCAGGATCAAAGAGGGAATCACCAAATACAAAGAGAGCTGATCTATCATAGCTGCCATGGCAATACACAAATTGTATAAAACAGGCAGCAATGATGAAGCCAAGAAAGAAGTTGGAACTCAAAGCCATAACTTTTAGCACTAATTTTCTACTTGAAAAGAAGAAGTTTTCAGTTTCTTGAAATAATTAAGAGTGATTGAGTTTTCTTTAATAAGAGGTCTTTCTGGCAGGAAATAGTTAAGTCGTCTTTAGAAAATAGTTGACTAGACTTGGGGAATTTAAAAATGGAGCATCTTGGACTTCCCCTTCCAATAGATGACAAGCACGATGGAAATATGCGAGCATACTAATTAATTATTTGATTTGCATGTGATTTCAGAAGTAAAAAAGACATCTTTGACTAGAAAAAAGAAAATAAAAAATATTAAGTCTTTGTCATTTATTATTCAAGTATTTGATTAGCATCTTTGACTAAAGTATATATAAAAATTGAGGGTATAATATTATGAAAATTGTACATTACACATTATTTGGGCGGGGTTCTAAAAAGACATAAAGGAAGGAATTATACTACTAAAAACGGGTAAATTCCGTCCAACCAAATCGCCATTATTCGGTCGGTAATCGGTAAAAAGCAACCGAATCGTGATCAACTAAGTGCGGTCGGAAAATAAATAGTCGGCAGAGCATATCGACCGAAATCGATCGGATACGACCAACCAATATAATCGGTCATTAAAAACGATCATAAACTAGTCTCTGACACAAAAATAAATATACCGATCAATATCGGTCGATATGTTTATTTAATGTCTTATATTAACTGACTTAAGTTAGTCGGTATGATAATATTATTATTTAATTTTAAACGAAGATACCAACCAACATTGGTAGGTCGGAAAAATACTTATTATTTGTATATAGCAAATATTTATATAGACCGACTAATGTTGGTCGTTACATTCTTATTTCTAGGTTTTTGTAGCTGTTATTTGTGGCTTGAATTGTTTCTTTGTATTTTTAAGAAACCTATAATCTCAATAGGTTTGGAAAAATCCATTGTTCTAATAGATTTGGAAAAGAAAATCTTATTATCCTTTTCGGATTGGGAAACCTTTCTCTTACAGGTTTGGGACTATTTGGGATCTATATATAGGGGTTTTAGTTGGGGATTCTATAGATGATATTGCACATTTCTTCTCATTCATAGTGAAAAACTTCTGCCCCGAGAATTAGGCTTAGCCAAACCTCGTTAAATTCATGTATTGATTTTTCTTCTCTATTTGTCTTGTATGTGATTGTGTGCTAGTTAACCTTGTTATTTGTGGTTTGAATTATTTTCTTGTATTTTTAAGAAATCCATAATCTCTATAATGTTATACCTCATGTTTTCGTACGTAAAAATATGCCATAAGTAAATTGATGAAACCTCGAAAGTGAGATGTGTAACGACCTGGCCGGTCGTTTTAAGAATTTATGCCCTGATCCCCTATTAACTGCTTTCCCCGTATTTATTTCTGCTATTTTGATTTGCCGGGATGTTCGGTTTTGAGTTTCGGAGAGTTTTGGGACACTTAGTCCCTAAATGAGAGCTTAAGTTTTGGAACTTTGACCGTAGTCGGAACAGTGTGAAGACGGCCTCAGAATGGAATTCCGATAGTTCCGTTAGCTCTGTTGGGTGATTTCAGGCTTAGAGGCGTGTTCGGATTGTGTATTGGAGGTCTGTAGCTAATTTAGGCTTGAAATGCCAAAAGTTGAATTTCGAAGTTTCCGGTTCGTTAGTGAGATTTTGACGCGAGGGTCGGAATGGAATTCCGGAAGTTGGAGTAGCTCCGTAGTGTTGAATGTGACGTGTGTGCAAAATTTAAGGTCATTCGGATGAGGTTTGTTAGAATTTTTGATCGAAAGCGTAAATTTAGAGTTTTGGAGTTCTTAGGCTTGAATCCGTGGTTGATTCATCGTTTCGATGTTGTTTTAGGTGTTCTAAGGATTGGTATATGTTTGGATAGTGGTATATGAATTGTTCGTGCTTTTGGTTGAGGTCCCGGGGGCCTCGGGATGATTTCGGATGTTTGACAGAAAGGTTTGGAGTTGAAAGTTGCAGTTGAAGCTTTAAGTCTGCTGTCATAACTGCACCTGCGGCTTGGGGACCGCAGGTGCGAGGCTGCAGAAGTGGTCAAGCAATTGCAGAAGCGGTTTAAGGCAAAAAGGGAGTTGACCGCAGATGCGATCAGGGCATCGCAGAAGCAGCTCGGCATTTGCGGTAAGGTAGTCGCAGGTGCGAAAAGTCCTCCTTTAATGAAAAATCGCACATGTGACCTTGGATCCGCAGAAGCGGGACTGCAGAGGCGGTTTCACTGGTCAGAAAATAGGGATATCGAGGGTTTAGTTTCAAAACTTGGAAAAATCAAATTGAAGCTCGAGACAGGGCGATTTTGGGAGGAAGTTGAAGAGGAAATCATTGGGTAACAATTCTTTTAACCCTTTCTAGTTATATTCCATCAATCTATTGTTAGTTTTATTATTTAATTTCGGATTGGAGATGAAAATTTGGAAAAAAGTTGGAAGAAAGTTCTTAGACCTAGAATTTGACTTTTGATTGGGAATCTGACCTTGAATTATGGTACTTTTGGTGTGACTGAACTCGTGGAAGTGTGAGGATTCTGAAGATGTAAATTTTACCCGATTCCGAGACATGGGCCCGAGGGACGTTTTGGTCATTTTACCTAATTTCGCGTATTAACTTAGAATTTCTTTGTAGAATCAGTTACTTGAAGTGTTATTTATATTATGAAACTGAATTGAATAGATTTGGGTCATTTGGAGTCGAGTACTCGTGGCAAGAGCGTGGTTTCAGATTGATTTGAGCTGGTTCGAGGTAAGTGGCTTGCCTAATCTTGTGTGGGGGACATTCCCCTTAGGATTTGGTATTGTGGCAATTGAATCGCCTTGTACGTGAGGTGACGAGTGTGTACTTGTACTAATTGTTGAAAAACCTATTTTCACTAAAGTAGCTTTAATTGTGTTTTCCTTTCCTGCTTACTTTACTTGAAATTTTAGCCTGCTGTTAGCTTAGAGAATCATGTTTAATTGATTTAATTGTTTTATTGCTTAAATTGCCTTAATTGTATTATGTGAAGCATGTTAGGTTAGAATTACCTGTTTTACTTGGTACGAAATTGAGCTTAATTGAGTATTCCTTGTGTTGTTGCTGTGTGTTTTTACTTTGGGACTACGGGACGGTATCCCGGGAGATTCCCTATACGTATTTATGATTTGAGCTGAGGTGCGAGATACCGAGAGATCCCTAGCATGTATATTGAGGATACCAAGAGATCCTCAGGATACAAGGAGATCCCTAGCATATATTGAGGATACCAAGAGATCCTCGGGATACCAAGAGATTCCTAGCATATATTGAGGATACCAAGAGATCCCTTGCACATATTGAGGGTAATAAGAGATCCTCGGATACTGAGAGATCCCCGGTTATTATCTTTGTGAAAAGTAGCATTCCTTGTGATTGTTTTTGCCTCTGTTTCAGTTGTAGTTATCTTTATTATCCTGTATTAATTCTTACGTTATCTTTCAACTATACTCCTTTATCTTATACTTTCACACCGTATATTTTTATTTAATCTCAGTAGGGCTATAACCTTCCTCGTCACTACCCGACCGAGGTTAGGCTTGACATTTATTGAGTACCGTTATGGTGTACTCATGCCCTTTCTGTGCATGTTTTTCATGTGCAGATCCAGGTACCTCCACCCAGACTTATCACGCTTGAGACGAGGCATTCATAGAGACTCCGAGGTATATCTGCCGCGTCCGCAGACCGAAGAGTCCCTTTCTACTCTCCCTTTTGTATTAGCCCTTCCGTACTTTGTGTCTTTGTTAGATATTCTAGAGTTAAAAGTTTGTAAACTTTCAAAGGCTTGTGATCATGAGATTTCGGATTTTGGGAAATGTATTTAGCTTTCGAGAGTTGATATTGTGTATGCCAAGCGACACTTTAAATTACTATTTTATTTCGCTAGTTCGGTTTTAAATTATTTCTTTCGCAAATTGTTTTTTTTCCGCATTGTTAGGCTTACCTAGTCGTAGAGACTAGGTGTCATCATGATGGTTCACGGAGGGCAAACCAGGGTCGTGAAAAGTTGGTATCAGAGCTCTAGGTTCATTGGAGTCATGAATCACAAACTGATTTATTAGAGTCTCGTGGATCGGTACAGAGACGTCTGTACTTATCTGCGAGAGGCTATGTAACTGTTAGAAAAATTCCACTTCATTTGATTTCCTTGTTATGCGAGATTTGATGTCACAATTCTAAACTTTTGTCTTCTATTCTCTCACAAATGGTGAGGACGCGCGCTACCCGAGATGATTAGGCACCCGCGCCCCTACTGCAACCGTCATAGGCCGGGGCTGGGGTAGAGGCCGAGGATGCGCACGTGGTGCAACTAGAGAACTTGTGCAAGCTGCCACCGAGGTACCACCAGCAGTTCCATCCAGAGTCCAGGCACCTGATACGCCTACTGCTACTACTACTCCAGCACTTCAGGAGACTCTGGCACAGTTCATGAGCATGTACACCACTTTGGCTCAGGCAGGGTTGCTTACCCTTGCTGCAGCTACATCTCAGGCCGGGGGAGGAGCACAGACTCCCGCTACCCGCACTCCTGAGCAGCGAGTGCATGTTGAGCAGGTTCCCGAGATTATTCTTGTACCGCCTGTAGTCCGAGATTAGTCCGAGGACAGGGCAGCGGTTTCCGAGGATGAGTAGTTGAGGCTTGAGAGGTTCAAGAAGTACAAACTTCTTGTATTCAGTAGTCTAGCATCAGATGATGCTTTGGGATTTCTAGATGAGTGTTACCGCATTCTCTGTATCAGGGCCGAGGGGGTTTTCTTCACTACCTTACAGCTTCGAGGAGCCGCCTATGAGTGATGGCGCACCTATGAGTTAGACAGTCCGGATGAGGCTGCTTTACTGACTTGGACTCAGTTTTCAGATCTGTTCCTGAGAGAGTATGTTCCTTAGAGCCTCAGGGATGCATGGTGCGCAGAGTTTGAGCATATGCACCAGGATGCTATGACTGTCTCAGAGTATGATGTCCGTTACACTAGTTTGGCTAGACATGCACCAGCCTTGGTTTCTACTGTTTGCGAGAGGGTTCACCGGTTTAT